AAAATTATAAATTGATGTAACAACCCCTCTTCTCAGGCGTGAGGCTAGCAACCCCATCCTGTAAGCAATATAGCTAAAGAAACTTCAGCACGATGTATCTCCTTGAGACAAAAGAAAAAGTCTTTGTGGGGACATGGAATGTCCGTACTATGCACGAGATTGGCAAAGCTGCCCAGATCGCAAACGAAATGAAAAGATACAAAATTCAAGTACTGGGAATATGTGAAAGCAGATGGAACGGGAATGGACTCACCCAATTGTCAACAGGTGAGTCAGTGATCTACTCCGGTAACCCAGAAGATAACCACTCACACAGAGGGCGTGGCTATCATGATGTCACCGACGACAACGAAGGCCCTGATGCAATGGGAGGCGATCTCACCCAGGATAATGACCGCCAGATTCAACTCCAAAGGAAGGAAAGTGTCAATTATACAATGCTATGCACCGACCAACAACGCAGACCTCGAAACGAAAGAAGAATTCTACGGACAACTACAGGCAACAATGGACAATACTCCAGCTGGCGACAATAAAATACTGATAGGAGACATGAACGCCAAACTGGGATTAGACAACACAGGAAGAGAACTCATCATGGGTAGAGAAGCTCTCCGAGAAATGAATGAAAACGGAGAACTCTTCGCCGACTTCTGCGCCTTCAATGAACTAGTGATTGGTGGCAGCGTATACAAACACAAGGATATCCACAATGCTACATGGGTGTCACTAGATGGGCGAATCAAAAACCAAATCGACTTCATCTCAATCTCAAGGAAGTGGAGGCGCAGCCTGCTGGACACAAAAGTGAGAAGAGGAGCAGACATTGGCTCAGACCACTATCTCGTACAAGGGGCAATCCAAATCAAATTAAAAGCTTTCAGAGAATCAAGAGCTGCAGATAGACCACAAGCCAAGTTCAACACTCAGAAACTGAAGGATCAGGACACAAAGGACATCTTCACTGCAATCATAAAAGACAAAGCCGAGACACAAATCAACACTGGTGAAGAGGTCAGCGTCGAAAAGCACTGGAACAACTTGAAGACAGTGTGGAGACAAACCTGCATGGAAGTTCCAGTCAGAAAGAAGAGACAGGAAAAACAGTGACTCACTACGCACACTTAGAGGCTAATAGAAGAAAGAGGGATGGTGAAACAAAATATTCTCCAGTGCATCGATGAGCAACAAAAACAGGATTTGAATGCAAACTACAAGACACTGAACAAAAAAGTGAAGAAGAGTGCCAGAGAAGACAAAAGAACGTATTATGAAACCATGGCAAGTGAAGCAGAACAAGCTGCAGGCAAAGGAGACCTCGCAACACTCTACCAAACTACTAGGTACCTGTCGGGCAAACGTTTGACACAAATCAAGCCGGTGAAGGATGACAACAGAAAGTCGCTCACCAAAGAAGTGGAGCAAAGGAAACACTGGGCTGAACACTTCAAAATACTCCTAAATCGACCACCACCTACAACGCGCCTAACAATTGCAACAACGGAGACAGAGCTACCAGTGAACACCAACCCCCCGACGAAATCAGAAGTCCTGAAGGCAATCAAGATGCTGAAAGCTGGAAAAGCAGCAGGACCAGATGGAATCCCAGCAGAAGTGTTCAAAATAGACCCAGAGACAACAGCGGACTTGATGACGCCAATACTGGGGAAGGTGTGGAAAGAAGGTAAAGTACCCGAGGATTGGAAGAAAGGATGCTTATTCAAACTACCAACGAAAGGAGACTTAAGTCAATGCAAGAACTGGCGCGGAATTATGCTCCTGTCCATCCCAAGCAAAATACTAAGCCGCATCATCCTGGAGAGAATCAAACATGCCCTGGATGCAAACATTCGACCGGAACAGGCTGGATTCAGGAGAAACAAGTCATGCATTGATCAGATCGTCACATTATGGATCATCATTGAACAAGGCGTGGAATCGCAGTCACCTCTCTATCTCAACTTCATCGACTTTGAAAAGGCTTTCGATGTCGTCGATCGAGAGGTGATTTGGAAACTACTATGCTACTATGGGGTGTCACCGACAATTATCCATCTCATCAAACAGCTATACGACAATGCTGCCTGCCAAGTAATCCACAACGGGAAACCTACGGAATCCTTCGAAGTGAGGACAGGAGTAATACAATATGGCTGCCTACTATCGCCAATGATTTTCCTGATTGCAGTAGACTGGATAATGCGACAAACAGTGGGCTATGAGGAAACAGGCATAAAATGGACTCACACAAAAATCTTGGAGGATCTGGACTTCGCCGATGATACATGTTTGATTTCCCACAAACTGGAAGATATGCAAGCGAAACGCAACAAGTTGGCAGAAGAAGCATCCAGAGAAGATAGGACTTCAGATGAACATAGAGAAAACACAGGTAATGAAGATTCCTGGACAAGAACAACAACAACACACAACGATCAGCATAAATGGGAGGAACCTGAAAGAAACAACCTCTTTTACCTACCTGGGAAGCATCGTCTCAACTACAGGCGGGACTGACGAGGATATTAAAGCAAGAATCGGAAAAGCAAGGCAAGCTTTCACTACTCTCAAGCCTGTGTGAAGGTCAACAACACTCAGCATCAAAAATAAGATCCGGATTTTCAACTCCAATGCAAAGTCAGTGCTACTATACGGATCAGAGACTTGGCGTGTCATAAAGAGCATCTCAAACAAACTACAGACCCTCATTAACAGTTGTCTTCGCTCAATACTCAAGATCAGATGGCTGGCCAGAAAAGATCAGCAACGGGTATCTCTGGGAGCGAACCAACACAGCAGGAACCGATTGCGAAACAAATATGCGCATGCAAATGGAGATGGATTGGCCATACTCTGAGAAAACCATCAAGTGACATCACCAGACAAGCCCTTGAGTGGAACCCGAAATGGAAGCGGCGAGTTAGTAATCAGTGCAAGGGTGACATGTAGGAGGTTATGTGAAGAGGAGATGAAAACTTGTGGGTAGACATGGAGCTAGGTGAAGATTCTAGCAGAGAACCGAACTCATTGGAGACGCACGGCTGAGGACCTATGTTCCACTTGGAATGAAAGGATGCATTAATAATAATAATAATATATGCAATACGAAATTCAGAAACCGCTGTAGACTTCTGATCGATAGTATTCTTCATCATTACCACCATTAGGTCAAATCCTTCGTTAAGCAAACATCATTCACATGCACGTGTTTATCCAATTCTCCTTCACGTCATCCTCATTACACAGCTTCATCGTCTTTTCTCAAGCGTCTCTCCTCTGACAAACAATCAGGTTTGTTGACTTATCCCCTCAATTCGTGACGTTTTACAAATTCATTATAAAAGACACTCTGTCTCATGATGATCGATCGCCGTAGTTGCCTTACTTGTTGTCATCTTCTGTGAACTTGTCGGCAGGTGTTGGCAGTTGATATTCCAGCAGTCACAGACCACTCATTGTCTTTTCATATTTACGTCACTCCGAGAAACAGATAATGGATTATCGTTCAGTTGTACTCAAGAGAGACTATGTGATTTTAGAATGACGCCAACAAGTTCATCAGATATCTGCATACATCCAAGAGAAATCGAAATCCATGCTGGTATCGATTCCTTATATAAGTATTTCTTATGCGACTTCCTGTCAATGAGACAGAAAAATATACGATGAGTGCATTCCGATCATTTGATATCACACACTGCTTGATAAAATCGAGGTGTACGGTCCCGCTGAAAAATATTAAATGTTGAAGGTTGACGTGGCTACAGTAAAAGATGAGGAGTTAATGATGTTCTCAGGGACAGAATCGAAGGACTGCTTGAGTGCAATATGATCCCTTCTCTTACAAATTCTTCTAGGGAAGATTTATAGACGTTGAAACAGACACCCCAAACAACTTCACAATTATTTAATTAAGTTAATCAGGCTCCCTGATTTCGATGCCTGTGTGCGTATTCGATCAGGGAGATGACAAGACATTGAGGTTATTGGGCATTTCAATATCAAAGATGCAATAATAAGATAGAATGTGCAACCAGAGACAACAAGGCTGTAATATTTGTATTTCACACATCATTTCAACAGAACACAATTAAAAATTCCAACATCCTAATTTGAAATATCGTACGATTTTAGTTCACTCGTCTCATCAGAGAGAATGTTCTGCCAGTCTCATAACCTAGACATGACAGCCGACAGTGACTGGAGGTCAAATGACTATCGAAGATAGAAAAGATAATAAGCTTTGTTTTATCTATCTCACATCAATGGAATCACATTTCTGAAGAGAGTGAAAAAGAAATAAGACACACACTCTCTCACACGCACACTGAATGAACTCACAAGGTGTCAGTGTCAGCAAATGATATTTTACGAAGTCGTCTGTTTCGTTACTAGAGCACAATGAATCAATAAAGCAAAATCATTAAATTAGTTAGTGATGAAATGAACTTCAGAGAGATTAACGCATCGTCTGTATGTATTGATCCACTGATAACATTCTTTGCTCTGTTTGTCTGTCTGTTTCTCTATGTGCCTGATAGTAAGATGGATGACCGACATGAATGAAAAAAGTCCGGTGAATGCAACAAGAAGTGAGTGAATGGAAGTATTGTGTAGCATATCGTGGAAGACATCGCTAATCTTTTAATTATTTCATTAATATATGAAGGTGATTCAATTCTGATGTTGTTGTGATTTGAAATCCATGATGAGTATTTCGTAGATGATAAATGTCACAACTGGTCTGTGAGCATAACTCTGTTATCTCGAAATCACGAACGTGATGCAGTGAAGTTAGAGAGTATAGCTGAATCACTGTTCCGGTTTGCACGTCTTCTCTGATCAAAAGGCTGATGTGATCAATAAGAAGTTTTACTGAAGAATTAGTATCACTACTGTTACTTGACCCCATAAATCTATTCAAGCTCAGATACGAACGAATTCAACTGAAGTCCCCTTGAATTACCTACCCATGGACAGAGCGATAGAAAACGTGACAGTTGGCTTATAATTACTTTATTATGATTATTATTGAATTATTATTATTATTAAACAAAGAAGGCTGCGCTGTTAAATCACTGTTTAATCATTGGTAAAACATGAGAAAAAAAGGAAGTCGATAATAGGCGTGTCAACACTGTTTTTTCGACCGGAACCACTGGTGAGCAGACTACAGAAAGAAATCAAAAATGGTGTTAGAAGATGACATGGAAAGTTGAATGTGAAGATACCTGCAACCAACATCACAACGGACGGGAAAGGATTCACATGGAAACACATCACACAGAATACCATATTCCCTCTCTGATCAAAATACCTTCACACCTGCACCGCAAAAGTAACTGAATAGATAATTCATCATATAGACACCTATGAAACGCAGGATAACAATCCAGTGACATTGCATTTCGTGGCATACAAGACAACTACAAGTGACGTGATCACTAATATTCTCGTTGTTGAACGGCATCTTGAGAAGTGATTGAGTGCTATGCGAGGGCTGATCGATACACAAGACACGCATTCTGTTTGTTCTCAGTGAGTGAGTTGAATACAGTTGACAAAGACTTCGTAGCAAATGCTTATTGATATTATGAATCTCAAAGTGTTTTTGGTGTGAATGTGACAAGTGCTGAGCACAGTGTCATGATTTATCTTTTACTGTTTCATGTTTCATGCAAGTGAAAACATCGACGGGATATTGGGGAACAGTTACTGAATAAGAATGGACACAAGTGAACTCAACGACTTCTTACCGTCAGTCTGTCAGCGAGTTTTTCATATATTGGCAATAAAGCTGAAATTTGATTGAAATCCTGTGTGAGTGAACAGTTTACAACGCAGAATATGAAACAATCAATTTGAGCTACCTATGTAAACTCTAGTGACATATAGAAGAACATCGAGTACAACCTCTAAACAGAATATATCCACGTGATTTCGATTGCTGTCAAATTGCTGTCAGATTGTTTCATGAGTATGAGTGGCTCACTGTGATGTCACTTGTTCAGCTGTTCGGATGTGATATCCATAGACATTTGGGTCATTTTGGTTGTAAAATGTTATTACAACAGAGACTTGGATGCAAGGATATTTCAAAATAATCTAACGATGTTCGTAGACTCTATCATGAACATCATATATGTTTATACATATATGTATATATAAATATATATATATATATATAGGTATATATATATGTGCGTATGAATACAGCGAAGGTTTACTTTCTACCTACCTTTTATTTCCTCACGTGTAGTGATTTCGTCATATGCTTCAGATACTAAGAGATTCCAACTTCTGATACCTACAAAAAACAACAGTAAATGAAGGGAAAGATAAAGATTAGTCAAATAGTATATGTGCGTCGGTAGCATAACGGTTAGGGCGGTCGCCGGCCATGCACATGGTCCGGGGTTCGATCCCGGCCCGCGCACCTTTTTACCTCGCCAACCCAGAAATAATGCTGGTGAAGAGGAAAGGTTGGGCATAAGGCTAGCAACCCCATCCTGTAAAAATAAACACTGCTACAGAAACTTCAAGCCTGTGGCTTGAAGCCCTATGTTCCAATGGGAACGTGAAGGAATAAAAAAAAGAAATAGTGTATTGACTTCCACTGACTCAAGATGAAGTTATGCCCGCCGCAATCATCTAGCAGTATTATACTTCTCTCCCGGGATACTATGAACTCAATACACCTAAGGGATATTCTCCATTGGATGCAGGTGATGTCTTCAATAGGAAATATGCCAACGCTCAATTTAGACCCATGAGTCAGGTGAGATTCTGTCCCCCTGATTGTTTCACATCCTCCATCACTCACAACATCTACATTTGCATTCTCAGGATTGTGCTTAGTGATTTCTGCAAATATATAAAGTACTTGATCAAACAAAAGCCGTGGAAGTACAAAGAATAATCTATGAAAATTATTACAGATCGGAAAATACCTTGAGAAGAGATAGATGGCCGGAACTCGTCACATCCATTATATTCAGGTCCATATTTCCTGCCTGCACCAAGATAAGGGATAATAGTAAATGACAAAGAGTTCACAAAATGCGATAGAATGTTCATGTGCATGAAACTGTTATTCAAACGAAGCATGTAGTAACTCACGTACTTTTCTCCCATCCTGAAATTATAATGATTTGTGTCTGTGTGAGTGTTTGTGTGTGAACTGGAGGTTAGTGATAAACCGGTTTACAGTAAAATATGAGTTGTTCTTAAGATGGAGACTGCTATTCTGCTCACACGTCGTCTTCAATTGCAGATACTCCAACTGTGTTTGAAGACTAACTTGACGTAATTCAGTTGATGGTTATTTTACAGTGGAAAGTTTGGTTCCAATTTTGACCTGCTTACGACTCGATGGTTGAATGTACATCCACTTACAGATGAATGATTGTGTTCCCACTCGAAGATTACAAGTCAGCGCAAACAGTGTTACGATTCAAGGGTATTTTCCACGGGGTCACTTAGAAATCAGATCTCCCAGCATTCCTCCACCAAACACTATCACTCAAGTATGTCCTTCAAATATCTAACCAGGACATTCACATAATACTGTTCAATTCAAAATAGTGATTCCAATGCCTGCATCGACCATGAGAGCATCAAATTCATCAGTGATTACAGGTAATCACCAATCATGTTGATTGTTACAGCGAGGTGTGTCTTCATTATATAAGACCAGAATTTATAATAATCACAGTGCGAATGGCTCTCGATTAAAGAAACACATACTTTTATTCTCCAGTAATGTGGGTTTGTATCGAACGAAATCCCAATTTATTTCCTGAACAAGTTCACCTGTGAAAATAACGGAGGATGAAGTTTCAGAGGTTATGCGGAAAATAGTAGAATCTGAGGCAGAATCCCTAATTCATGCTCAATATTCTCAACACTAATATTCAGCGCATTTCGCATTTATTCGTGTCACATCTGATCATGTTGATGAAGATAATGGTGAAGGTGAATATGTTTGTGATCCGCATATGCACCTTTCAAGTCGTAATACACTGCCATTTCAAATTTCACTCTAAATTATTGCAAAGAAAAATATATATTTGCTTACCATATTCCTCAAAGAGGACTCGCAATGACGCTATCGTCACTGAAATCGTGTATGAAACGATGGAGAAGACAGTCAATAGACGACGACTGCCTCTTGCAATAATTACAATAATTATTCTTAGGTATGTAATTAGGAATACAAGTATTTATGAGAGATGAGACGAAGCATGCTGAACCACATCATCTTCATAATCTTTCGTCTTCCGTAGAGTTTCGAGTGTCAGTCACATGAAACTGCTGTTTCTCATTAGACAATGATGAGAATATCTAAGTGTGTATATTCCCCATCACTCTCAGCGGAACGACTTTAGCAGAATAAGCCTATTTCTCCTTAGAAATAAAAGTAGACGGATGTCAGCACTGTGCCCCACTAGTCAGATAGATGATGTACCTCAGTAGGCAGAATAAAAAGTTGCTGAGATTCTCAGTGTTGTTGTGAATGGATGTTTTCAAGGTAGACAAAAGCTGGAAGATGGATCAAAGAAATCCATCTGCGTGACAGTTCCTTCATGTGAAATGATTGTATTGATAATTTCATCAGAAGGATGATTTTATAGAATGACAATAGAGGAAAATCACAAACACTTGAAGAAGTCCGGTTCGTAGTATTTTTGGAAATTTCTGTTTATACAAGCGACATCTGAAAATGTAAATTCATTGAAATCCACAAATGATCCACCTACATTGATCAATCTTCTTTGTGTCACTGGGAAACGCGTCTTTCAGATCATCTGCAAAAAATACAATGAGATGTGTGAATCGAAATAATACGGGAGGGTTGTGGGTGGACAGCATACGTTTTCCAAGTAATGTCAGTTTACTCCCTTTGATATTTTGTGTCTTTGAAAATGCATCAGCTTTTAACGAATGTACAATCGATGAATTACCTCTCACTTTCTCTCTCTCAATCTGTTAGGCTGTAATTATTTGTTGTATGCTAGTTGTGATCGCAGAGGATATCCATTCTTCCCTTTGTGTACGCATCTCATTCCAGATGACTGACCTCAAAGAATAAGCACAATATCCGACCATTGCGTGACGAAAAGCTACATGCTCACTCACTGATTACCTGGCAAGACAACACACTGATATTCGTTTGAAGCTGGGTGACTATCTAACTGGATTGCGCACTGAGCTCTGTCTATGCGTTAGCGACAAATTCAAAACGGCGCGTTGATTATTGAATAAGACGAAGTTAATTTCAGTGGTTGGAGGTGAATCACTGTGGGAGAGAGTTAGTTCAAAGGTGAAAACACTTTCCTTGTAGAAAAGTGAGTTAACGTGAACCAGAGAAGGAAATGAGATGAATAGAATATTCCATGTTTTACCTGTAATTATTCCAGACATTCTTTGCAGATGATTTATTCTCTCGTCATATCTCGTATTCAACTCTGTGAATAAATATAACTTGTTAATGTGCATCATCCTCGAAATATCGTTTTCATAGTTTAAAATATGCGGTGTTGTTTCATGATTTTGGAGAATCCTTCACATGCATAGTCTATTCCCCATGACAATAATTTGCATCAGGTCATCATTAAAAATACGTCTCTGACGCTAGTGTCACGCTTGTGAACACAGCAATCCTACAAAAAATTCTTACAACAAATCACCACAAATATTGTCTCAACCTGAGTGTAAAGTTCATCAGAAGTGAACAGTTGCAAATACACCTATTGATTTTATTCAGTTCTGAATTTGCTACATTTGCAAGAATCTTGGATGAACAAAGTTATCCGACTGGTTCACTGCTGAGTAAAACGGCATTTCAAGGAGAGGCAAACGGTGAACTTACTCACTTTTATAACTGTCGACAATCTCGTTGAAATTGTCAGCCTGTCATTTCAACAAATTCGTTTCTAAAATGTAAACGCAATGGAATATGGGTCAGGCGAATATGTAAAAATGACTCGTGGATGGAAATCGTCTTCTCTGACTTTTGAGACGATATGAGAGAAACGGAATAGAATCAGCTGACCTCTCTACTTAAACTGCTACTGTTAGAATCTTCTCAACGTAATGCAAATTTATTAAGATTCTTGTAAACTTCCACTTACTTTGAGGATCAACGCAATCCTCCGCTTTCTTTGTGCTACCAAATCCTCCAACTAGAAAGACATTAAGGAATAGATGCGTGGATGAAACATTCTGGCCTGTATTTAAATACAGCACAAGGCAGATGGCAGTATAAATAATCTGAGTATCGAAACATTCAGCTTATATGTTCTCTGTATTACCTTCAGAATCACTGTATAATAGCCCTCCGCCCATAATAGAAGATTGGATGATTTAGGCCTGGTGAATTTGGTAGTTTTAGTTGACGTGCTTTCCAATTAATAATAATAATGTACTTTATTCGAAAAACAATACTTATAATACAGAATGGAATTCTCAGCATTTGTCACAAAAATGCATCTGATTTACTCAAAATATAATTAAAATTAAAAATTAAGACTAAATTAACCACATTTACCACATAACGTCAAAAATATTAGAGAGATTGCGATTTTTAAATATAATAACAATAATAATAATAACAGTGAGTTTGTTTCAAACGTTATTTTCGATTCAGTTTGGAAACTTTAGCATGTTACAGATTATTGGATCTAATGTCCTGTTTATATAGTTAGGTGAGGGGAAACACAAAATAAACAGTTATAACACAGCTTAAATTATGTCCACACTTATGAAAAAAAAATTGAGAGGATTATTAATATAAGAAATACATTAACAATAAAGTTTGATGCTGTTAGAGTGGAGGAAATAGTATACGCAGTGATGCAAAGAAGGTTTGTTAGTTCATGGCTGTTACCGTCAGCTGTGATTTCCAGATAAGCATGGTTATTTCGTGGGAAAACACGTGCTGACAAAACATTTAAAAGACTAAATCCAAGATGTCTAAAACGACATTATACATGTGGATGTCATTGCACGATGCACAGTGCCTCCCATCGAAATCCAGCAGCTACCTCCTAATTTATGATCTGTCAGATATTCATAGAATAGACCTGTGTGATACCACGTAGCATTCAATACAAATTTCATAAATAAAGCCAGTGAAAAATTGGATAAATCTGTACAAAACAGTTCAGCATTATTTACCTTTTACCACAGAGGCATAGTGAAGTAGAACAATAATGACTGCGACAAGCGACAGTGAAGGATGCACCATGATTAATTCTTCTTTCGAAAACCGTCTGTACTTATTCTGGTGAATGTTCTACTGACAGCTTTCAACTAAAATTTGACTGGAAGATGAGAAATCGAGTGACAGACATGTTCGTTGAGATTCAAATATGAACTCAAACCAATCGCGAACAACAACAACTATAATTTTATTGGACAGTGAGGAGTAACCATATGAACTCCGACCAATCATGAACGCTGTTAAGTTTGGTTGTATTACACACCGAGTAGTAATCATAGAAAGTAGAATCACCCCCTTTTCTCATCAAATAACACATTCCAACGACATATGGGCCAATGAAGCACAGTGTCGTGATGATGTCAGGTTTCCAATGATGAAGTGCTGTCTGTTGTGTTAACAGATCAACAAGACAACTTGTCGTGTATACCGTGACAATTACTGATTCAAATAATCAGGGAACTACTGAAAGCAAATGAGGAGCACCTGTTGAACACAAGAACTCACATCATCTATCAGCTGGGTGAATACAGTCATCGGCGACATCTACTCAAACTTCACTTTCTTCATTGACTTCTACATTTATGTGTCCAAAATAATTTGATAATTACTTGATCATCTTATGAAAATCGCAGCTGAAACGATCAAAATCTATATCATTCTCAGAAGTAGACAGAGCGTCTGATTGATAACACTGTGGCAACAGAAGACCAAGGCCAGGCAACAGATCCCTTAATAGGGAAATCAACACATATTTATAGTCAAGTATTGGTTTGTAGGGATTTGGTTGATTGGTTACAGGATTTCATCATGAGCTAACATTGGTTAGAGAACCATCGGAAAGCCTGGAAGCTTTTCATGTTTTCATTATATGTTATTCTTAGGAGAAAAACACAGTCCTCTGATTAGTTGTTTCTCACTGAAAGTTAATCTTCCAGCTCTATGTGGTTGTTTCTTGAATGTTATATCATCTATATGCTAACTGTATCCGTCTACGCAAAGTCTGCTGTGGTCGGCTGTTGAATCAGCCTTTGTTAATATTTTTTCTCACGACCAATATTGAGGACGTAATCATTGACGTAAATAACCATCTACTAATGTGGCTAACAGCCAGCTCTCACCACAACACTACTGTGTAATTGTGGTTGTCATTAGAATTCTGTTTTCATCTCCACGACTGATCGAAGAATGTGTAGGATTTGTACAAACAATCGGCAACATTTTCGTGTTTCATGAAATCTTAGTCGATTGACACCTGCAATATCTTCATCAACGGAAGATTTTTACACCATGTAATTCAAACACAATGTAGATAGGAAGCATTATGTGATGCAGACAGTGACTGTGCATTGTGTGAATATCGCTCAATATTTGAAGTTATGGGAAGGTGAACAATCGATTTCGTGTGTTAACTACCATCAGCGGAGAATCGTTGAAGTGAAATAAGGTGAAATGCACTGAATATAACCAGCAAGGCTACAGTATGTAATTTCACCTTGTGACATCTCCTCATTGTCTCCGAATACATCACTCACACTGCATTTCCTTCACTGAAACCTGAATGTAGAGCAACCTTGATAATTAGAAAAGTGTGATGGTATTTGGGAGTCATTTACTGTGCATAAAGATGAGAGGAAAGAGTAAAGTAGACACTGGTGGTCTATGTATAGTCAAAATCGACCTTAATTATCAAAATTGTGGATGTCAGTGAATCACTCTGATGCTGGCTGAAATTACCATCTCTCTTCATCAACTCACATCACTCTTCACATCCTTCTCTGTTGGTTTGTTGACTCTATTTGCACACTGTGAAATGCATCGAATCGGGTTCCAGCACACTACAACCACGCCATTAACAATCGTTGCACTGTCTAGAAATCGTATTCTGTTGTCTCTCTCCTCTCCACACGTGAATGTGATGAATGTGTCTGAGGAAGCTGTTGGTAAAGCTATGGGTGATTTTACTTATAGTTTCCGCTGATTACGAATTGTCTTTAGCACACAAAATGCCTCATGAATTCAGGCTTCGTTGGTGGCATCAGAAAGTGACCTACAGTCAGTTTGTTGATGGCGAAATCAAAATGTGAATTTCGTCCTGAATTTTCATTGTGGAAATCGCACACATGGACGATCAATGGTGCGCAAGTCGTTCATCCATCAATCGATCTAAGAATAGAGAAGGATGCATAGTGACTGATGAGTTTGCATTGTCCCACGTCGTTTATTATACGGTGCTCGTGTCAGTGTGAAACGACTCGAAATCTAGGTGAAACGTTGACGCCCGAATCGCATTGAACTCATGGCTAAACAAATGCAAACAACCACATATCGTGTATTTTAATTGAATAACCCCATATGCATAGCTTATCATCTGATAATATTCGTGTGAATTTGTTGTTTTCGTGTAGTGATTCCATAACATTGATTAGTCAGTCTGAATTCACACACTGTCATTTCATTGAATTTCACACTGCTTACAGGTGGGGATTAGCGCTCATTCGAAATTACTATCAACTCGGAAACGTTGCAAACATCAAAGGCTGCCTGAATATATTTCTTCAGATAACTGTATTCTAGGCACGAACACACAATCATTGATGATGGCGAGTGCATCACCTCTAATTCACAATCACTCGAATGGAACAAACACCAGTAAACACAAAACGCATCCGTACGAGTGTCACGAGAATTATCGTTTCCCTGAAATCGAGAAGAAATTGTAGGCATCTTCAACATGTCATAACTTGTTCAGCTGTATGAACACGTATATTTGTTCTGCAGTTTTCACCAATTAGACACTTGATTTTGTCTTTGGCACCGGTCAGCAAGAAAACTACTCCACTTCACTGACGAATCTAGGCAGCGTGAAGTTTATTCTACACACATATTTGAAATAGTGATATGAGTGAACAGCTTGGGCATTGTGGAAAACATCAAATACGTCATAATTCTA